TTAATTAATGGGTTTAAAATAAACGAAAGTGACAAATGCGTCTATGTGAAGAGCACGGTAGACGGCTATGTCATTTTATGTTTATACGTGGATGATATACTCATCGTGGGTAGCAATAATCTAATGATTAATTCTACCAAAAGCATGTTAAATTCTAAATTTAACATGAAGGATATGGGGCTGGCCGATTTAATCCTTGGGATTAAAATAATTAGAGGACCTGACGGTCTTACGCTAAGCCAATCCCATTACGTTGATAAAATCCTTACGAAATTTAATAAGGATGATTATCATGAGGCAAGGACTCCATTAGATAAAAACGTACAACTTACCAAAAATCGTGGAGAGTGTATTTCTCAAGTAGAATACGCTAGGATTATTGGAAGCTTGATGTATCTAATGAGTTGTACCAGGCCTGATATTACCTTTGTGGTTAGTAAGCTAAGTAGATATACTAGCAACCCCGGTGATGAACACTGGAAGGCAATAATAAGGGTTTTGAGGTATTTACGTAAAACCCAAAATCTTGGACTGCACTATGGAAGATATCCAGCTGTACTTGAAGGGTATAGCGACACTAGTTGGATATCCGACATAAAGGACTCTAAGTCCACAAGTGGATATGTTTTCACTTTGGGAGGTGCAGCCGTGTCATGGAAATCCTCAAAACAAACGTTAATAGCTAGATCCACGATGGAGTCTGAGCTAATAGCCTTGGATAAGTGCACTGAAGAGGCTGAATGGCTACGCCATTTTCTCGAGAATATTCCAAGTTGGGAGAAGCCTTTCCCTCCAATATGCATACATTGCGATTGTCAAGCGGCAATTGGAAGGGCACAGAGCAATCTCTACAATGGTAAGTCTAGACACGTTCGTCGTAGACATAACACCATTAAACAACTCCTCACAACAGGTGTTATCACTGTTGACTACGTGAAGTCAAAGGATAACATAGCGGATCCGCTAACCAAGGCATTGGATAGAGAATTGTTAGAGAAGTTGTCACGAGGAATGAGACTAAAGCCCGTGAATTGGAAAGTTCTGTAGTGGATACCCAACCTAGTTGGTCCTAGGTTCAAAAGGGACAACTAAATTATAGAGCGAAGGATGGTCACTATGGGGGTCCCGGACTCCTACCCACTCCTCGTTAAAACAGTGACTCCCGCACAAGGTTAGCAAAAACGTTTGCTTTAATGATTCTAAAATGTTGATCTACTCGATAACATTGGAAGAGTATGCGGGATACTCGTGAAAGAATCACCCATGTGAGAGAGAAGAGGGCCGCTTCAAAGGAGAACTGTAAAGGCTCAGTTCTTTAGAAACTCTTGCAGAACCAGGACGGTGACCCATGGCCAAAACGGGCACACCCATGAGAACGGAACAAAGTTGAAAGGTTCTTGTGTAAAGATAAGTCAATGTTTACACGACGGCAATATAGTTCAAGGACATCGAAACTACTAGACAGCCAGTAAATAAACGTGTCTTTACAACGGAAAGTTCAAAGGATAAAACCTTCCTCTCCGTATGCAAGGATCATCCGGTGAACACAACGTGTCCTCCTATCTTCGTGTCTTTTTAAGTCTCGAAAATCAATTTTTCATTCATGTGGGGGATTGTTGAAAATATGTGTTAAAAATTGCATTAAATGGTCACTTTGGGGCAATTATTTGAGTGGGGTCCACTTCCGATTTGGGTCGGGTCAAAGTGGTTTCGGATTGTCCTTGTTAAGGGCTACAATTCGATATGTGGTACACTCAAAACGGATAACGGGTGAATGAGAAATTGATTCTCGAAGTTCACTCGTTGAAATGGAAAAACTGGGAAAATGATGGGTTTCTAGTGTGTTTTATCCCACACCGAAAAACTCAAGGGATTTTCACCTCCTTATAAAGGGAAGCCTCTTTTAAGGAGTTAAGATTCCTAAGGGTAAATGCTCTCTCTTACGCGCAGGGGGGTGTCGATCAAATCCCGAAACGGAGAAGAAAAACCACGACTCGTGTGCGCGAGCGACCTGCAGACTCGTGTGCGCGGGCGACTTCGCATCAGAGTTGCTCCAACTCTGGTGGAGGTCTTCTGGTAGCATCAGAGTTGCTCCAACTCTGATGGGGGTATTCTGATCGCGCACCAGAACTGCTCCAACTCTGATGGGGGTATTCTGATCGCGCACCAGAACTGCTCCAAGCCGTTACAGCCATTAAATACCCAACGTTCATGTCTTTTAATGCAACGTTAAATGGACAATTTATGGATGATTCAATGCCCAACGGACTGGTCATTGATGTCCAACGCTCAGGTCCATTAACACCCCATTTAACACACAACAAATCCTCCTATAAAAGGCTGGCAGGTGCTTTGCAACAAACACATGGTTTGACAACACACAATACATTCCTCACGTTTTCTTGAGTAAAAACTCTTCCAGCTACTCCCAAATTTCCCTAGTGTTCTGCTATTGTTCCAGTTCGCCGGGACTTTCGTTTGTGTGCTCAAACGATCGTTCGTTAGCCACCGTATCCTGGGAAACGGTCGTTGCAACGCTCCTAGCACCGTGGGAGGCGACGAATACGTTTTAAGGACATCGTGCGTAGCACGAGCTCTGACTAAAATCTGCTCCATCTCATTTTCTGTTTTCTTTTAGCTATTTTGTTTATTAATTAATTTTATTTAATTAATATTTCTTCGTTTTTTCCGAAACACACCCAACATCAATAACATAGATAGTGGCACAAGATAATTTTAGCAGGAAGTGAAGTGATTATGATACATGATGGGGAAGTGAAGTAATATAGAACAGCAATGGTGACATATATAAAGTATAATATATTTAATTTGATATAAAAACAAAAGTTATCAAATCTAGAAAAAAACTGAAAAGTAGAATAGCCTGAGGTTTAACGAAAGACGACATCGTTTAATTTAATTGAATTATAATAATAATCTATTTTGGCACGAATCTGACAATATTATGTGAATTTGTGCGAAAGTGGTTTAATTCTTACGAAAAATAGCACGGAACCATGCGAAAAACTTGTGACACTTCATGACAAATTTTAGTGTTCTTGTTTTAGTGTTCTTATTTGATTTTGCTATTCAATGTTATTTTAGGGCGTTTTCTAAATATGAAAATTATCTCAAAATAGAGATAATATATACTGTAATTTATAAAAGAATTGTGCCTAATAATAACAAATCTTGCAAAACAATTTTTTTTCGAATTTGATAATAGTTCGATACATAAAATTATATACGGCAATATAGTTTTGTTGAAGGCAGAAAGAATACATATACAGATATACTATATACACGAATTGAACTTCATTTTAATGGATTATTGGTTAACTGATTGTATTTCGTATTATATTTGAAACTAGTAAAATTGTTACACGAGTGTAGAGTTGGACACGACCCTATTTCTTAACCGAAACTTGGACGATTAGTCTTTATAATGCAAAAGATTATTACAATTTTAATGGGGAACTATAATTCTTGAAATCATGTGAAATGTGTTGATTCTAGTACACTTATACATGGGGTTGTATCAGAGAGTTATAACTACACTTATGTAGTTATAATTCTTGAATTGAATACCTTAAAAACATCTTCAATGCAAAAATGTGAATGATATTCAATGACATGAGAGATACACACATAAATATTAATAAGTAGAACATCTCTCTCCTTATTTGAACGATCATATTTATTTCTGGTAAGTTTTTTCTTCACAATGACAAACACAATATTTAGGCCGGTGTAGACATGCGGTTGATATTGTTGAGAAAAAAACTTGTCAAGAACTCATAAGACCATATAAATAAGGAGATAAAAATAGATTTTTTTTGTATGTATCTCTCACGTCACATGTTTGTATTGGCATGGAACACACCATAACTAAATGTATAAACTTGTATTGGACAACACCCATGCCAAATCGCACCCTTGAAAAAAGTTGACTAGAGTACGTACTACACCACTACTGCATGCCTCATACTCCGTAAATAATTAAAACTGGTGCCCAATTTAAAATATAAGGGAGATTTGAACTAAATAAAAAGATAATTGCAACAATAGGAGTTTGTAGTTTAAATTCTCAAAATAAGACTAACTATTTCCTTTGTCCTTCCTAATGAGATTTTTTAAACAATCATTATAAAATATAAAAAATCAAAATAAAAAAATCAAAATCGTAAAAAATAAATAAAAAATATACAAATATCAACCACCACCTCAACCACCTTCCAGCACTGCCACCTCCGGTCGCCGGAAAAGATTTCCAAGTTGGGAAAAAAATGTAACCGTGATGGCAATTTTGAAGAGAAAACTGGATATTTTCAAAAAGTAAAAATGTCATAATCATGACATTTTCAGAGAAATGTGGCATTTTTTTACACAAGATGGAATTTTTTCCGACGACCGGAGCTGGTGGTGCTAGGAGGTAGAGGATGCGTTGGCAGTGACCTACATATTTTTTAAATATTTTTTTAGGTATTTTATTTTATTTTATATACTTTTTTAAAGTTTTTTAAATATTTTATTACGATATTATTATTATTATTATTTTTTTGGTGTATTTATTCACATTTTATTATTAATTTATAAATATTTTATTATTTTTATATTTTAATTAAAAATAAAACTAATTTTCTTATTAATAAAATAAATCTATTGAAAATTATAAGAAGAAAGTAGAATGGAAAGAATGGACATATATTAATCATATTTTGAGAATAAAGGTATTGTATCGTTGAATTTTTGGCTAATTTTAGTCATATCTGAAAATATAATGCGAGTAAGCCGCAAATAAATTAAGCTCAATTAAATGGTGGGTCTGAGGTAAAGGCAAGTGACGTCCATTCATATCCAACAGTTTTTTCACGGTGAAAGCTGAAAAGATGAGAAAATAATGGTGAACCACAACCCATGCATGCACGTCCTCGCAAACCCATTCACTCCGCATTAAATTTCCCATTCAATTCCCTATATAAACATTTTACTTGTCACGTAGAGAATTCCCATAAAATAATTAACAAAAGGTGGTCAAGTGAGCAATTAAGATCTTATCATCAACAAGCTGATCAATTAATTAAGATGAGAACAGGTATGATGAGAAGATGCGGCGGCATGGCGCCTTTGTGCGCAGCACTGTATCTGGTGAGCCTGACGAGCCTCGCCGTCCTCGCCGACGCCAGCAACTTCTGCGTCACCGCCATGAACAAGAAGCTGTGCGAGGAGACGGTGAAGGGGGCCGCCGATTGGAACCAGGCCATCACCAAAGCCGTCACTATAGCCTTGAAGCAGATAGAAAAGGTTGACCATGGCCAGGTCAAGACAAGCATCCACCAGACCAAGTCCGCCTCCGTCGGAAGCGCCGTCGACCGCATGTGCACCGAGGCCTATGCCAACGCCAAGGACTTGTACGTTCACATACATACACATTTCTTTGTATTATTCTCTTTTTGGGAAAAAAGATAATGTTTAAAAATTTGCCCTAAATAAGAGTAAAAAACTTTATAATTTCGAAATAGAATCAATGTGTTTTACGCAAGCCTAGGCGTGAGGCGGCGCTGAGAGGCATCCCATGGCGGAAAGGCGTGAAAAGATGATCAACCAAAGAGTTGTCTATCAAAGGCATGAAAATACGCGTAAAATCATTATGCGTAAGCTAGACTATGCGAAAGTTTTTTAGATGTTTTTTTGCAATGAAAAAATTTGTAGATTTAAAAAAAAAATCATTTTATAAACATGTTATATATTCAATGGAGTAGTAAAACACAATTTATATATTTACACTTTATACAATTTATATTAAATTCCGGTCCCGTCTTTTAGAACACTGATGACATGCCATATAGCATCGTGTAAAACGTGGACTCATGCATGCATGCATGCATAACAGGTTGCAGGAGAGCCTGGAATTGATACGGAACGGGGACAAGACTTCTAGCTTGAACTTCAAACTGTCGGCGGCGTTGACCAGCCTTGAGGACTGCGACAACGCTTTCGATGATTTCAAAGTGGACGTGGCGAGTGTTCAGGCATTGAACAACGACATTGATCAAGCCATCAGAGTTTGTTTGGCTGTTGATAAATCCAAGTCTGCGGCCCGGAAATAATCATATCAATTAACTGTTCATTAATAATAGTTAGTTAGATGGGAGATCTGTCTCACATCTCTCTGCATGCCATTATATATATATATATATATATATATATATATATATATATATATATTGCCGTCTCTAATTTTCGATCTCTTCAGTACACTGGAGATTGATGGAATAAGCTAAGCTAAGCTAAGGTCTGTGTAATACGTACGTAGTAGTGTTCAATTCTCTTCGCTCGATCTACTTTCTTTTAATGAAAGCCTATTGTTAATTACTCGATCCTTTTCTTGACAAATTTTCCTAATTTAGCTCATAAAAACACAATAGTGTTCTATTTTTTCACCTTATATTTGTCGAAATAATTAAGGTCGTCATGAACTCGTGATTACCCTAACACTAGCTAGATACTACTTCAATGCGTGTTATGTGTGTATACATAGATATGTATCCACTTGGGGTACCGGTGTATATTAACTCATAGATCGAGTGCTTCATTGTAATCTAATCATATTGAGTAAAAAGAAAAAAAGAATTGCAAGACTATGACTACTACGTACGTAGTACAGAGTATGATTCATAGGATTAAAAAAATAGTCACTTTGACAAAACTACCCTTAATGAGCTACAAACTATATTTGTATGGAAACCAGTGTTCTAAATGGTGCTAGGTGCTAGTCGGACAACAGCCCAACGAATAACGCCTAGGCGGGGATTAATGAGAACATAAAAATCACTACGTACGTATATTTTATCAATTTTTTTTGCATAAATATGATAAGTAATAGTGTGTTTGTGTGTGTTTATACACACACATTAGCATGCATGAAAGACATAATTGTCGCATTTAATAAGATACAAAGTATTATACTCCCTCTGTCCCATTTTACCTGTCTTACTTTCCTTTTTGGGTTGTCTCAAAGTAAGTGTCATCTTTCCTTTTTTGGAAAGAAATATGTGGTTCACTACATTTCACTTTACTCTATTCAAATCTCTACCACACTTTTTACCTTTTCAACCACTATATTACAAATTGTGCCAAAATCAAAGGAGACACATAAAATAAGACGGAGGTAGTAAGCTTTATAGCTAATCACTTTATTTTATTATAATGTAAATGTTAAATAACAATGATTTATACAAACATATATACAGAGTGGTTTTTATCTTAACCTACAAGTAACTTTCTTCATATCCATGGTTAAAGTTAGAGATGCATACTATATGCATAGTACGAAGTATCTCTTAGAAAAAAGAGAAAAAAAACATCTTCGACAACTACTTAATCTTCGATGAGATTGCCATTGTTACGTTAGGAATGACACAACAATGACATTTTCTTGTAAAAATCTTGACATTTCTGTAAAAGCAAAGAATTTTTTAAATTAAATTTGTGGCATTTTCGTAAGAATTATGATATTATAAAAATAAAAATAATGGTGATTTAAATAAAATTATCCAAAATGAAAGAAGGAAAAGAAAGTTGAAAAGTCGAAAGAAAAACCAAAGTTTATAATTTCAAAGTAATAAATTACCGTCAGTAAGAAAATGATGTGTTCCACGTCAGCATGTAACCTGCTGACCTACAGGTTACCTGCCAAAAATTGTTTATGATGAAATTACAATATTACATAGTAAGAGGGTGTAATGGTGAAAGTTAAAATACGTTACGGGGCTTAATTGAATTTTTCGTGAAGAGTAAGGGGACAATTTGACACTTAAAAAAACAATACAATGTGATATTGTATTGGGAAAGTTACCAAAATATGAGTAAAAATGTTCCATAATTTTGAAATATGATTGTTATATTTTTATTCTCTAAATAAGAGTAATTACTGTCAAGCTTGAAAAATACGGCCATGTTTAAAGTCTGCCAAACATGACGATAATTACTCATATTTAAGGAATAAAAACATGATAGTTTTATTTTAAACACAAATTACCCCAATTAGGACTAAAACTATGGCAAAAATAAAAAATAGGACATCTTATGTTTTTTTTTCAAAATAGGACCATATTAGTCCTATTGGAAACATGCCTATTTTAATTCCATTCTTACCCCCTCCTAATTTAAATATGAGTAAAAGGTAGTAAAAAGTCATAATTAAATGTTTTCATTCATATAAATTCGTAAAAGATAATAAAAAAATTAATAAAATATTTATAAAATAAAAAATTAAAAGAAAATTTGATTTAAAAAAAAATAATAAAAATCCATAAAAAAATTTAAAAAATTATGGATGCCTTTCTCGCCGCCTGAACTGCCTCCTTGCACTATCACCTCCGACCGGTGTAAAAAAATTCCATTTTCTAAAAGAATCCCACTTTTTATGAAAATGCAAAAAAATGGCAGATTACTCTTTGAGAATGTCAAAATTTTCATTGAATCTGCCATAAATATGGCATTCCTAATGCATGTGGCATTTCCCCCCGGTGACCGGAGGTGGTGGTGCTGGGACGGCAGAGGCGGCGGTGATTTTTTTTGTGTTTTTTATAATATCTTTTTTAATTTTTTTTAATTTTTTTAATTATTATTTTTTAATTTTTTAGTATTTATTACGAATTTTTATTGTTTTTTATTATTTTATAATGACATAAAACATTTCAATAGCAATAAGGGTATATTTATTCAACACAAATGATTAGTCCTATTAAAACATAGTTTACCTTTTGATCTTATTTGTGCAAACGAATCAGCTTTTATTTCTATTTTGATAATTAACCGTATTTTAAAATATGCAAACATTTTTGCTCCTATTTAAAACAATTTGCTTGTTGGGTTGATACTTATGAAATACGCCATTCTTGGAAAAGTCAATTAACTTGGGACGAATCACGAATCGTAGCAAATAAGCTTTTTGTATGACCCAAATCACGAATCGTAGCAAATCATTTGGTGACTCTTTTGATTCAACATTTTTTTTATTAAATACTGAACTTTTGACTCGGTAATGATTAAATAAGTAAAATCAAGTTACTTTTTTTCGAGAATCTAATGAAGAAGGTACTTTTACTTTTTTCATGAAATTTTCCTTTCAAAGAAGGTCCTGAGTAGTCTGTATCGAATAAAGTTTAAGAAAATCAGATATTTTTACTTCTTCAAATACCTTTTTAGTGACGGTAATTACAGTGTGGAGTATAATATTTGGTCACCATTTGACCCCTTTAAATACTGCTGACATTGTATAGTAGTACTACGTAATTTTTACTACTCGAGGAGTCGAGGATACTCATAAGATTTTTTTAATTACCAAAGAGAGAACTTTCATTACGCATATCCATAAAAGAAATAACTTTAAATAGGGACGTAATGAGTATATCTTTTCATCACTTAGTAGATTCGGTCAATTGAGCTGCTCAAACCTTGTTTTAGAAATTTGAGTAGATTATATTAATTAAACCAGTTCAAATTTATTAATTGCTCACTTTGTCGAATTTCACTCTCTAGGGTTGCTGTCGACGACAACGCCTAGCTAGTTTCTAGTCCGGTGGTGTTCCGATTATACGAGCACGGCACCGAGGTTCTGGTTATTGTTATTGTGTTGAGTTCTACGAGTTCTGTTGGAAGACGAAGACATGAGTGTGCTAACATGGAATTGTAGAGGCTTAGGTAACCCGGCGACCTTGCAATGCTTAACGGATCTGGTGCAGCAAAACAGGCCATCAATTATCTTTTTTATGGAGACGAAGTTACGATGCCGGCGTGCGAAAGATATACTCCGTTCGCTAGGGTTTGCGGAAGGACAAGGCGGAGGAGTTATATATTTTGGGTTGGAATGAGGATTTTGATGTAACAGTGGTGGAAACTAATGCTAATTGTGTAGACCGCCAAGTTTGCAATTTTGAAGGAGGATTAACGTGGAGACTCACCGGATACTATGCATTTCCGGAGACAGTGTGTAGGCGGGCTGTGTGGGATCTGTTGCAGTGATTGGCAACGAATAACTCTTCTTAATGGCTGATCATAGGGGATATGAATGATATTATGTATGAATCGGAGAAAAAGGGTTGTATACCGCAACCTCTGTGGCGGTTGCGTGGGTTTAGGGAGGCGGTGTCAGCTAGCGGATTAAGGGACTTCCCCTTTGATGGTTACCGGTGGACGTGGGGACGTGGGAACGTGGGAACGTGGGAAAGGAACATCAAATTGGGTGGAGGAAAAATTGGACCGAATTTTGGTTAATGACTCATGGTGGGACAATTTTCGGGAGGTCAGAGCAACATTGGTAGAAGCCTCTACCAGTGATCATATGGCATTGATCATCAGGATTCGGCCAACATGTCATAGCAGGACGGAGAAGAGGTTTCGTTTTGGGAATAATTGGTTGAAGGAGGAAGAAAGAAGAACAATAGTGGCGAACAACTGGAGGGCAGGCAAGGAGATGAAAGTGGGCGATCGGCTACTATTATGTGGGAAAGAATTAGCAAAATGGGATGGAAGCAGAATTAAAGGGTTCCGACATCAAATTCAAGCTTGTAAAAAAAGAATTGCTTAGTTAAAGTGGAAGGAGGATTCGGTCAGTGTAACCGAATATATTCGAACAAGACTAGTACTGAACACTTTGTTGGAGAAGGAAAATCAATACTGGAGGCAGAGAGCTAAAGAATTCTGGTTGAGAGAAGGTGATATAAATTCACGCTTTTTCATATTGCAGTGAAGGCGCGTTGAAGGAAAAATAAGTTACAGGGATTGAGGAGGCCGGATGGAGTCTGGGTGACAGACAATGGAGATGTAGGGGATATGGTGTATAATTATTTTTCTGAGTTATTTACAGAGCAGGTTCGTGTCGGGACTGAAGAGGCACTACGCCCGCTGGGTTCGGTGAACGCGACGCAAAACAATGGTAACACTCGAGATTTAATTTAAACGGATTAATAGTACTACTCATACCAACAGAGATGCATCTCCTTTTAAGGGAGCTCATCACCCAAAAACTCCAAAGTTAAGCGTGCTTGCACGAGAGTAGTCTTGGGATGGGTGACCCCCTGGGAAGTTTCTCAGGGCGCGCATTAGTGAGGACAAAGTGCGCGGTAAAGGCTCGTGGTGGTTTGTGAGGACAGTACTAGAGGTCAGAAGTAACTACCTCGGGGCCTATGGGGCCGGGGTGTCCCAAATTGTATCAGAGCAACCCTGCGACAGTGTGCTGATCTGTTGGATATCAGGCGGGCACTTAGCAGGGGAAAAGATTCTGGGATATGATTGATATTGGTTTATGGGCGCAACGAGGACGTTGCGTTCCTAAGTGGGGGTGATTGTAACACTCGAGATTTAATTTAAACGGATTAATAGTACTACTCATACCAACAAGGTGCATCTCCTTTTAAGGGAGCTCATTAGCCAAGAACTCCAAAGTTAAGCGTGCTTGCACGGGAGTAGTCTTGGGATGGGTGACCCCCTGGGATGTTTCTCAGGGCGCGCACGAGTGAGGACAAAGTGCGCGGAAAAGGCTAGTGGCGGTTTGTGAGGACAATACTAGAGGTCCGTAGAGGTCAGAAGTAACTACCTCGGGGCCTACGGGGCCGGGGTGTTACAACAATAGACTCTTGAAGAAGGTTACGACGGAGGAAGTAAAAGCAGCTGCATTTAATATGCATCCAGAAAAAGCACCATGTATGGATGGGATGAATCCGTCTTTCTTTCAGAAATTTTGGGGCATTGTGGGTCCGGAGGTGGTGGAGATGTGCAGAGAAATATGTAATTCTGGGAAAATTCCTAGAGAATCAAATATTACTAATATTGTCTTAAACCCAAAGAAGGAGAGATATGAAACTGTGGGAAATTGGAGACCGATTGCCTTATGTAATGTGGTGTACAAAATTTTCTCTAATGTTTTGACTAATCGAATGAAGGGCTTATTGGATAACTTGATAGGAGTAAACCAAAGTGCTTTTATACCAGGGAGGTCAATAGTAGATAATATTGTGGTGGCGTTTGAGACAAAACATTGTCTAAAAAGAAAGCAAATGGGTAAAGAGGGATTTGTAGCGTTAAAGCTGGACATGAGTAAAGCTTATGATAGAGTGAGTTGGAGCTTCTTGGAGAAAATTATGGGGCGGATGGGGTTTGATGCCAGATGGATTGGGTTGATAATGGAGTGTATTAGCACGGTCAGCTACTACGTCCAATTCGAGAAAGGATCGATGGGGCCGATTGTTCCAAGCAGAGGACTGAGGAAAGAGGATCCTTTGTCTCCTTATTTATTTGTTTTAGTGTGATGAGATTGAAAAACTAATGAATGGATTTTGGTGGAGATCAAAGGAACAAAGCTGGATCAGAAAGGAATGAGATGGAGAAGCTGGAAGAACTTATGCAAACCAAAGGAGATGGACGGACTGGGGTTCAAGAGGTTAAGAGAATTTAATCTGGCTATGTTAGCCAAGCAGGGGTGGAGGCTAATTAATTATAAAAGTAGCTTAATGGGGATGATTCTAAAGGCAAAGTATTTTCCCAATTTTGATTTTCTCAATGCCAAGTTAGGAAATAATCCTTCTTTTGTATGGAGGAGCATATTTGAGACGCAGAGTCTGTTGAAGTTGAATACAAGGAGACGAGTGAGGAATGACATAGAAGTGCAAGTGTGGGCAGATGCGTGGTTGCCGGGGCCGGATGAGGGAAGAATAACATCGGCAAAACCAATGGGTGTACGGGACATGAATGTTGCAGCCTTACGTGATTATACAGGCAAGAAGTGCAATGAAGATAGAATAAAGGCAATTTTTAATGAGGAGGATATAAGAAACATTTTAAGCATCCCTATTAGTGCTGGGGACCGTGCAGATGGGTATTGGTGGAAAGGGGAAACAAATGGTGTATATTCTGTTAAGAGTTGTTACAAATTACAAATGGGAGAATTGACAGGGATGACGAATGGCGTATGGACACAACTCTGGTCAGCCAAGGTATCACCTAAATTTAAATATTTTATTTGGCAGGTATTGGACGGGATGATTCCAAGTGTGGACAAATTACGTCAGTGAGGCGCTGAGGCATAGCGGTGTCGAATGGGTGTAAATTGTGTGATGCCCCGATAGAATCACCGGAGCATGCATTTCGGAATTGCAGCTGGGCTCGATCGGTCTGGCAGGAAGCCGACATAAAGCTTGAGGAGGACGTACATGTGGAGGAGTGGTTGAGGGGGGCATAGAGATGGGGGATGAAGATAAAAAGAGTAAATTTATGGCATTGCTTTGGAGTCTTTGGAAGCGCAGGAACAACGCAGTGTGGAAGGACCAGAAGTAGGATACTACCAGCGTTATCAATGGAGCCGCAGGGATGCTGGCAAGTTGGAAGGAGGGACAAGAACATAGTGGGGATCAAAATATCAAACCGCCTACGGTTAGAGAAAAGTGGAGGAAACCGACGAAGGAAACCGTCAAAATTAATATTGATGGAGCGGTTAATGAGGCTGGTGGAGTAAGAGCTTGGGGATGGGTGGCGAGAGATGATGAAGGAAATTTTTTGAAGGCCAAAGGGGGGTCGACGGAGGCAAACTGGACGATGGCAGAGACGGAAGCTTTTGGAATAAAGGAAGCTATAGGCGGAGCAATGCAGGAAGGATGGACTAAAGTGGAGAATGAGTTAGATGCTATGACAATTGTGAAGAACATAAAATCCGGGGAAGGATTTTCTTATTTACATATTATTGTTGATGACATTAGAGAAGTGTTGGAAACTAAGAGTGGTTTTTCTATATCTTATTGTAATAGATCTGCGAACAATGTGGCTCATGCAATTGCAAGAGAACACGTGAATCTCCCAGATCAGCACAATAGCTATGATTTTGTGCCTAATTGTATTGCTAGCCTTTTGGCTAATGATTGTTTGGATTAATAAGAATGTTTGGAGTTGATGATAAAAAAAAGCACGTGATTCGGAGCATCGGGGTAGAAATGGAGCCATAAAAGTGGAAGGGAAGTTCAAAGTGAATCTGTTTCGAAGTACTAGACCAAGTTTGGATGGGGTGACAAGAGTTTGACAAATGGAATTGATCAAAGGTCCAAATTGACAAAAACTAACCGCAATTGAATCAAAACCAACCAAAACTGACCAATCAAAATTGACCAAATTGGACTTCAAAAAAGGAAACATTACGGGCCTGTTTACTAACTGAGATATTTTCCTTTTTTTTTCAGAAAAACGGAAAACTGAAAAAAGGAAAACTGGGAAACATGTTTACCAAAGAAAATTGCTGGAAACCGGAGAACAGAAAACAGAAAAATGCTTTTACCAAATCATTTTTCAAAACCAAAAAAATGAGATATATCTCTGTTTTCCTTAATGAAGTAGAGAAGTGACTTTTACTAGTTTTCCAAATTTGTAAAACGCGGATGTTGTAGTGCTGCTGCAACGAATTTGCACAGTTACGCCTAGTGGTGGATCCGGTCCCGCTCCGGTCAACTACCCAGCGGTCCGGTTCGGTCATTGACCCAATGGTCTCTGTCTGGGTCGGTCGATGGCCGAGAAATCTCGGTTCGGTTCGGTCGATGACCCAATGGTCCCGGTCCGGTCTGGTCATCGACCCGACACTCCTTTTTTGGTCCGGTCCATGACCCGACGATCCCTATGCGGTCCGATCCATGACTCGGCGGCCCTTGTCCGGTTCGGTCCACGACCCAATGGTCACTGTCTGGTCTGATCCAAGATCGAGCGTTCACTGTCCGGTCCGGTCGATGAACCGACGGTCCCTGTCCGCTCCGATCCACAACCAGTCGCTACCTGTTCGGTTCGGGCGATGACTGGACAGCCCCAGTCTGATCCGATCTGATCAATGACTCGACGGTCCCCATTCGGTCCAGTCAACGATCTGGTGGTCCCCGTCTTGTCCGCTTAACCACCCGGCGACCCTCACCCTGTTCGATCAACGACCAAGCGGTCCCCATCCTGTCTGGCCAATGACCTGCCGGTCTGTGTCCGGTCCGATCAACAACCGAGTGGTCTCGAGCCAGTCCCGTCAACGGCCCGACAGTCCCCGTTTGGGCTGGTCAATGACTCGACGGTTCATTCTCTTTTTTGAAATCATGTTTTAAAGTGAAGAGTTTTAAAAGACCTGTTGAGTTGTCAACCAATAGAGAAATGGAAAAAAGAATTCGTCAAACTAACCGTTGAGATCACACGTTTTTTGTCTCGAATTTTATATACGTGGGACAATGTACCCTACATGGGTTGTACTTGGTTCGGTTCTGGACGGGGATCATACTTTCGGTCTTGTAGTCGATCATAGAACTGGGTGAAAAATTTGATGAACGTGTCTTCAGATTTGAAAAAGGAAAACTAAAAAATGAAAATAGAAAATTGAAAAGATAGAAAAACTAGAAAATGAAAACAGTGTAGAAACAGAAATAGAAAACTAGTTTGTGGTATTTTAGGACAGGAATTATATCACTAAAAAAGATAGTCATAATCTAGGACACAGTTCATATACCACCGAGCACTTAATAAAATTTATACCTTTGCATGATTTTCAAAAGGAAGTAGATGGATCATGACTTGATTACAAACAGATACACCGGCGCATTAAAATTTATATCTGCCAAAATCGTGACATTATTGTCAAACTGTTGAATGCTTTAATTTGTTCTCTTGAAAATTATACTCTGTATAAGATTTTGGCATTTCAACTATATTCATTGATCCTGCATATATCTTCATCATCCATCCTCTTTCATCTTTCACAGATAACACAAACGTAGATGGCTCAGACTACCCCAAACCACATTCAGACTGTCTCCGGTTGGGCAGCTCGTGACGCTTCCGGGAAGATCACTCCCTTTACTTTCAAAAGAAGGTAACACCTAGCTTCATCCAATCCAATGTTATATATATTATGACATGTCATCTCATACTTACAAGTTAAGCCAATGTAGTAGGGAGCTAGTTGTACTCCAATAAATGAAATGATATGAGAGTTTATATTAAGCCCATGGAAAGAGTAATCTACCAATTATATGTGAGTTATTTGTATCTTTTAAACTTAAAATTTGTGTTCCTTTTAGTCTTCGAATTGCTCATACAGATGTAGAGGTCGGTTGGTAACTCTTTCATTGATTGAATCGGTTGAATGCAATGAAATTTATGAAATTGTAGCTTAAATGTCTGAATCTGAATCGTGAAAAAAATATATTTAAAAATGTAATTTGTTAATAAAATAAAGAAAGATAAGTATGAAAAAAGGAGGGATCCATTCTTTCTATTGTTTAAGAGCTGTGAGTGCTCAAGCCACAAACAAAACACAAGTAAACGTGCACTCTCTAACTAAAACTACAATTACAAGCAGAGAAAATGGGGCAAGGGATGTGACCATAGAGATCTGGTTCTGCGGAATGTGCCACACTGATCTCCACCACATCAAGGATGATTGGGGCATCACAAAGTACCCTGTTGTTCCAGGGTAAATAATATGATTCACAAATTTGTCATGTTCCATTCAACTATATTATGCCCATTTTTATTTTTATTTGGCGCTACATTTGTTGTGCATATGCTAGGCATGAAATCACTGGGGTGATAACTAAAGTGGGAAGTGAAGTGAGCAATTTCAAGATTGGGGATAAAGTAGGGGTAGGGTGCTTGGCAGCTACCTGTTTGAAGTGTGACTTTTGCAAGGAATCCCAAGAGAACTACTGTGACCAGGTCCAGTTCACATACAATGGCATCTTTTGGGATGGCAGCATTACCTACGGGGGTTACTCCAACATGCTGGTTGCTGATCACAGGTACCTAAATTCCTTAACTAAACTATCACTTGTTGTGTACAAAATAAAGGTAGACACTAAGCCTAAATCGGTCGCGCACATAGAACTTAACGGTTTTTAGAACATAATTGGTTGTGACTATCAAAATATGGTGTGGTTGTTGAGTATATTGGGTGTTGAATGTACTATGAATGAAGGTATGTGGTGCGGATGCCGGAAAATCTAGCAATGGATAAAGCAGCACCTCTGCTGTGCGCCGGGATAACTGTTTACTCTCCCATGAAAGACCACAACTTGTTTGAGTCAGCAAAGGAGAAGAAGAGGATTGGGATCATAGGGCTGGGTGGGCTTGGCCATGTGGCTGTTAAATTTGGGAAGGCACTAGGTCACCATGTCAGTGTCATCAGCACATCTCCCTCCAAAGAAAAGGAAGCTAAACACCACTTGGGTGCAGATGACTTTATTCTTAGCACCAACCCTCAGCATATGCATGTAAGTACATCATACAAAGTGGTACTTCCAGATCTCAATGCTCTAGCAAAGGAACATTATCGTGTAAACTGCAGCGACACGCTCCTATGTGACACATAGCCGTTGACCGATAATCAAGTGTTGAAATTTTCATTATCGAGTAAACGTGCTGCATAGGAGTGTCTCTCTAAAATTTTGTACATCATCATCGTTACCCCGTGTCGCAAAGGCTCCCACCTACAATGGGGGTAAGGGGGTTCGGATGTACGCAGTCTTACCCCTGCAACAAAGCACAGAAAGACTGTTTCCGGATAACTCATAGTGAAAATCGCATCGAAAATTGCATATTCTAAAATTTCTCTAAAATTTCGTTATCGAATATATTTTTAAGGTCTCTCTAGACCTCCTTTAAGAATACATTTCTTATCCTTATTCTAAAATTCTACTACCCTTTTATTTATTTATTTACCAAGAGTCAAGACTAACTAATAAAGTAGCAACCTAATAGTAATAGCTAGGGAGATTTGCTGTTTTAATCATTTCTTATCTGATTTTAGTCCCGTAAATTTTGGTTTGCCCCCTATTAATCATGTGACTTTATTGTCTTGCAAATTTGGCCCTGTAGCTAATGAATTGTCCATATTAAAGAAGTTTCATCAGAAATTAAACTTTCCAACAAAAAACATTCTAGAAAAAGACGTCACCAGAGTGGAATTTCCGCTTATAAGAGCGTTTTCCAGTACAAAAATCCTTAATGATAACAAATTCATTAGTTAGAGGACAAGATTGAAAGAGAATAAACTTACAGAATTAAAAGTGAACAAAACAAACATCTATAACTTTCTCTAATGGGTGTAGTCAAGGAAGAGGACTTTGGACTTCATTTTGGACACAGTGGCAGCCAACCACTCCTTGGGAGATTACCTAGAGCTGCTTAAAGTGAATGGAACTCTGGTGGTTGTGGGTGCACCGGAAAAGCCAATGGCTTTGCCTTCTTTCCCATTGATTTTCGGTAAGTTTTCGTTTTAATTCTTGCTTTTGTCAGTGTAATAGAAAAAAACTCTAATGAATCATCTTTCATCCATTAAATCCACATAGAACTATAGCAGTAGTATTCTAATACTACCTGTCTCCAAATATCTTCTCCCCCAAATGTTTTTCATACTCCTTTTGAAGAATATTTTTTCTTCATGCATTTTCAGTTTGTTAAAAAGTGATCCGATTCAAAGAAAGAAGAAACTTTTGGGACATAGGTGGTAGTAATCAATAGGGGCAAGTACCCTATATATGCATATTTCATTGCTCTTTCCTTGATTTTTAGGAAGAAAAAAATATTGTTTCCTTAGTATGTGTGTAGATGACAAATACAAAAGGATGTGTATGTATATAAAAGTAGTACTAGTTAATGAGAAGTAATGACTACTAACAGGGAAGAGATGTGTGAAGGGAAGCATGATTGGGAGTATGCAGGAGACTCAAGAGATGATAGACTTCTGCGGGGAGCACAACATATTGTGCGACATAGAAATGGTGAAGACTGATGGAATCAATGAAGCCATGGAGAAGCTTGCAAAGAACGATGTCAAGTACCGCTTTGTCATTGACATTGCAGGCAAAACGCCAAAGCTCTAGCCTCTACGAATGAATGAATGAATGAATGCCATCAAATCTTTTATACCCCAGTAATTATTTATGGGTTTTCCCCTTCTACAAAACAAAACAAAACAAAACAATTTTTTTTTATTTCTGGTGTTACATACGACTCTGATAACTCTCTTGAGCCTCATTATTTTCTGAAACTGAATGGTCATAAGGTTTCTGACCACTCCTTTTCAACTAGTTTCCTTCTTCTTAAGTTTTCACACAATGAGACCAGAACTTTCTTTATGTCCACCGATCATCATCGAACTTCGTTATTGAGACCCATCATTATCGAACTCAATACCGCTATGGTCAATTACCGGATAAGTTTTCGTGCGTTTTTTAATTAGTATTTTTCATTTTTCCATTTTTCATGCAAGCAGTAACTTTTATTTCGCCCATTTTTTTTGAATTTTCGAATGTGTGTTGAGATCATTTTACTTAAATTTGATGTATCTTTGTTTATTTCCCCCCATAGATCGTATTAATGCAACTGATGTTATGTTTTTTATTTTTAATGAAATTTGAAGTATTAGAAAAGCTATTGCTATTCAGGAATTAATTTTTTGAAGTATTAGAAAACCTATTGCGCAAATATGTTTATACTCCTTCCGTCCCCTGTTATCGTCCCATTGCGGTTTACGATGCTTGACCGACGATAAAGCAAACAGATCCCTGTCCGCACTCAAATTATTTTTAGGAAAAAAAAATTACATATTCAGAAACTACATTAAAAGATTTACAAAGTCGCAAAAACCAGAATCAAATTTGATAAAAATTTGATACATAAGTAAGAGATTAAGAGTGATTTGTGTTGACCAAGTGAATAAGAAATGTGACAATAATAGGAGGACGGAGGAAGTATTTTACTATTTGGTTCCATATTTTTTGATCTATTCTATGATTTTTTTCATGTTACGGAGTAGTACGGTATTATCCACTTTATTCTATAAGAATTTGTTATATCTGAGAAACATGCGGAAAGAAAAATTATTGCGCCTTTAATCTTTTTTATGCAATCAATAAAACTCGATAAAGTCTAGTCGAATAGCGAATATCTTTTTCTTTTTTAAATGTATTCATATTTATAAACTCATTACTCCGTACTATATTCGCTCATTGCTCATTGAATCGTAGCAAGTTTTCTTTTTTATTGTCAAACAAAAAAATTTACCACGTTTTTGATAACTAAGTTGTAATTTAATAATATTTTCCCTACACACAAATCTTAATTACAAATTTATCGGATAAACATGTCAAATTCTTAATTAACTAAGTTGCTTCATTCCTCCCCACTAAAACACACAACGAAGAAAAAAGCACACCCACTGAACCACTCATTCTGCCATTCATCCATATCAGAAAGGTTAGTATGCCCTTCAATCCGTCGTCGCATCTCATGCATATTGTAAATAGTACTGTATCGTTGCTTTTTCAAACCTTTACATGTTTGTGTTTGGGGGTTTGGCTTGAAATGGGTTTGTACTTGGTTATATATAGCAAGAGGCGAGAGAAGCGCACCCAACTAACACGTGATTCAATGTCTCATTAAATAAACATTCAGAATTTCAAAGAGCATCTGAAAAACAGCAAACCTTCATTATAAATAAATGGTGAGATTTAGAGGGGTCAGGGGTGTCCCCAATTATGACTTTGATGGATTTTAAAAGATGATGGATTTTGAAATTCGAGAAGAGTCTACAAGATTGTGATTGATTGTTTTTGTATATAGAAATCCATCGAAATCCATTAAAATATGTGCAAATAAGTAACACCAGAAATCCACGGAATGTTTGAAGAAACCTTTATTTTCATGGATTACAAAGAAATCCAAATCGTGGACACTTGAATTCTGACGTAATTCTAAACTCCATTAAAATCCTCCATAATCCGCATTGGGGACACCCTTAATTTTGAGAAGCTAGAAGGTTAGACACATTTGCATTGATTATTAATCCATCTCTCCGTGGTACAAATTTCTAGAACATGTTCCCGCCCAAATCTCCCCCATTTTACTACTCTATATATGATAATATAGAAATACAGATTTGGTTATAATTCAATTTATTTTGATTTGAACCCAGCGCATAGGTTCCTGAAAATAACGCAAATCTGTTTGCGCCATTTCGTTTAGATGGAGATACTGAAGGGTCCAACTGCCAATAACATAAAAATGGAATCGGATGATAATACTCCATTAAGCTTCCGTCTGGGTATGTGCTTTTCTCTTACTTTCCGAATTCCACTCTCAGAATTCTGTATGTGTGTTAATTGATCTATTCGTGATTATTTTGCACATCTTGAATCTTGAATAAACTATTCGTGCTCAGTCTATTGATTAGATAAACTCTTACTACCAGAAAAGTGAGAAAGAATTATAAGCACTCCCTTAACTATAATACGAACCTTGTAGTTTTGGAGTGCTCGAATTATGTTCAAGTTATGCATTATTTTTGACTTTTTTGAAATAATTAAAAAGCTCTTGAGAACTCATTTAGTTTTTGGGTGGGTGGAAGGGAAAGAATAGAAGGGAGAAGTTAAACACCTGCCTAAAATGGTGTAAACATCACATCAAACAGTATTTTATCTCCAACAGTTTACACCATTTTCATCACAAAAAAGGAATATTCTCTTTTTATTCTTTTTACTACTCCCTCCGTCCCTGTTTTTTCTCCCATTTCGGCTGGGCACACTAATTAAGATAGTGGGTTTTGTGTGGTGGAGAGTTGTGCAGAGGAGAGAGAAATGTGTAAGAATGTGTAAGAATGATTGTGAACCACAAATTCTTTGCCAAAAAGGGAAGGAGGAGATAATTTTGGGACGGACGAAAAAGGAAAGTTTGAAGATAATTCAGGGACGGAGGGAGTAACTTTTTACCATTATTCTATTTAAGTATCTAACTATTTTATATTTATACATTAACCCCTCATTTAATATTTTGAGATTTCACACATTATTTCACACATACAAACTAAAATACAAAGAATAATGGTGTTATTAATTGTAATTTTAATTATGTTATTTTCTTAAGTACCATTTGTTTTCTATTATTATGTTGTTTGTATTTGAAACTTTATTTATAATATTGTGTGATTTAAATGTTATTATATTTTTATTATCAAATTAATTGTTTTGATTGTTGTTGTATAAGTATGTTTTTACTTGGACTGTAATTTCTTTCAGATCAAATCAGACCGGATTAGACCAAACTTGGGTAGTTATAAAAATACAAAGAAATCAGACTAGTCCATATCAATTCAGACCAGACCAGACTAAATCAGACCATAATTTGTTGTTTTAAAAATGTGTCAAAACTATAATAATCAAAACTTTGGGTCACATTTGAAAGAAAAAAAATACAAAAACAAGATGGTGCTACAAATGGCGTACGCCATATATAGCGTGAAAGCTTCCCCTCCCCCATTTTGGTGTGATGGTGTCAAGTTTGGTGCCATTGTTGGAGCATTTTTTTGCCAAATACACCATTTTGGTGTTGAAGATGGTGCTTGTTGGAGATGGCCTTATTGATTTCTTAAACAAATGAACGCTTCATGGCTCTTCCCGTCTAAAACCCAACACACTAGTATGGAGAAAATACCCTCGGCCTAATTCGAGATGTCATGTATTATCCGAGATTCTAAAAGTTGTATCATTTTTAGATTTTCTAATTTATGTAATTTAAGCATTATAAAACTTATATGTGTCCATTGTGTTTTAAGATACTCGCTCAGGTGGAGAAGCGCTCACAAGTTTGTTTTGTCATTTGCTTTATCGGCTTTAGTTTTTCTTTTCAATCTATAGTATTGACATTGTAATCAGCTGTGTTGGTAACTTCTAAGTGATATAGCCAGGTCACATTACTCAAAAATGAAAATGCACAGTTAAAGACCACTCCATCTAAGAATGCCAACCAAAGCCACTGAAGTTTTTTTGTGGACTGATGGATTTTGTGGTCATATTACTCTTGATGTTTTCTGTTTTTTACTCTTACTATTGCTTTTATGCCATCTTAGCTTCTGATGGTAAAGAATACTCCTTGTAATGATCTTCGAAGCCACACAACCAAAAACTCAGATGGCTCTTCTTCAGGTGAGAGCGTCCAAAGCTACAACTCGTGCCTCCTATTCTAAAAGGCTTATAATTTTGAAAATATAGTTTACATTTATTACGAGATAATTTATTTATGGAGTACATTTATTCTAGAATATTTTATTGATAATGTAGTTGTGTTATAATAGGAGACTTTCTCCTTTTACTTTGGAATCGATCTTTGCATATCGGGATTCCATAGTGTATTTAAACAGCTGGTACTCATCTTTGAGAAGATAGAATATTATTCCTTTGCTCTTTCTGTGCAATACTCACGTAAAAATATCATGGTATCAGAGCTGCGTAATTGACCATGCCGAACAAAGCAGACTCTGTGTCCGACGACGTTCCGGCGAAAATTGATTATACCTTGCCATATTTCTTGGGACCCTAGGACAGGTCGGGTGATTTTATCACCCCAGTGAGGCTATCAGGAGACAACTATGATGACTGGTCGAACGCTATTCGATTGGCCTTGAGGGCTAGACGGAAGTTTGTTTTTGTTGACGGATGTATCAACAAATCGGCACCCCTTGCACGGAGGACGATTGGCTAACGATACATTCGATGCTAGTATCGTGGCTGCTGAATACAATTACCCCTGAAGTTAAAGCCACGTTGTCAAGGTATGATGATGCTCGTCGACTATGGAAGGACCTGAAGGAACGTGCTTCTCATCTGCTGATGGACCCAAGATACATCAGGTGAAAAGTGATCTGGCCAGATGTGTGCAGACGAGGGGCATGACGATTGCAACCTACTATGCCAAATTGAAAATGCTTTGGGATGATCTCAACAATTATGAACCACTGATTGCTTGCACGTGTGGCAAGTGTACGTGCGACGTTGTTGGGCAACATGAAACACGAAGAGAGAAGGAACATTTCCATCAATTTTTTATGGGGCCGCATCAAGATTTATTTGGGAACATACGTTCTCAATTACTGGGGCAGACACATCTTCCCACCCTCAACCGTGCATACCAGCAGGTGTCTTAGGAAGAGCGTGTTCGTGGAATTGTACAAACCCAGGATGAACGACCAGATGTGGTTGGGTTTGCTGTTCGTACCGAAGGAAAAGGCATGGGGCGCGGGACAAAGGTTGATACTGATGCTTCGATAATTGATACTGGTGCCACTAATCATATTTGTGGAAATTTGACTCTACTATGTCAGATTAAAAATATTGAATCGTGTACGATTGGCCTGCCAGATGGACAGATGGTTATGGCCAGCAAAGCAGGGCGTGTGATTATATCAAACAATTTAATTTTAGAACATGTTCTCTTTGTTCCAAATTTAAATTGTAATCTTATATTACCTCCATCCCTTAAAACTTTGCCAAAGTTGATCGGCACGGAGAATAATAAAATAAAAACTTTGTGGTTGAGGTTTGTGCAGAGGAGAGAGAAATAACAGAAACCACAAAATAATTGATTAAAAGAGAAAGTGACAAAGTTTTTTGGGACGTCCCAAAAAGAAAAGATGACAAAGTTTTAAGGGACGGAGGGAGTATCTGTTTCGCAATTGAGTATCCAACTGGATTGTTTTGTTCAATTCACTCATAACATGTGTGTTATTCAGGACCGTCTCTCGAGGAAGCTAATTGGAACGGGTGAGGGGCGAAATGGACTGTATTATCTGCGGGAGGATTTTGCTGCTTGAGTTTTGAGTGTTAGAGAGGCTCACAGAATAAAGTTGTGGAATTGTGGCACCAGCGACTGGGACATCCATGTTCACAAGTGATGGAAAAATTAGCTCTTATGATTGGAATAAAAAATTCTGAAATTTTACCTTGTGATGTATGTTTTAGAGCTAAACAAATTAGGGATCCTTTTCTGATTAGCTCTACTACAACTCATGGTATTTTTGAATTAATACATTGTGATTTATGGGGACCTTATCATACACCTTCCTCATGTGGTGCTAAACATTTTTTAACTATTGTGGATGATTACTCTCGAGCGGTATGGGTTTATCCTCTTTTGGATAAAAGAGAAGTATTTAAAATGTTTTTGTCTTCCGTAGCTATGGTGGAACGCTAGTTTGGTAAGAAACTTGTTATTGTAAGGAGTGACAATGACACTGAGTTTAATTGTTTGAAAGATTTTTTTCATCAAAGTGGCATTATTTTTCAATCATCTTGTGTTGGTACACCCCAACAAAATGGACGCGTTGAACACAAGCATAGGCATATTTTAAATATAGCTTGTGCATTGAGGTTTCAGGGGCATTTGCCGATTACTTTTTGAGGCGAATGTGTATTGGCTGCGGCACATCTTATTAATCGCACTCCTTCTGCTATACTGGAATATAAGACACCATATGAAATTTTATTTGGCGCCCCACCTTGTTATAAATCTTTGTGTGTTTTTGGTTACCTATGTTATGCCTTTAATATGAAATCAAAAGGTGACAAATTCACTAGTCGGAGTCGCAAGCGTGTCTTTGTGAGATATGCATTTGGAAAGAAAGGCTGGACGGTTTATGATCTAGACACCGGTGAATATTTTATGACTCGAGATGTTAAATTTTTTGAAGAAATATTTCCATTTGCTAACCCCACTCCTAAGGATACGGGTGTTGAGGATGGGTCATTAGATATGCCTATTTTGGACTATGCTGAAATTCCCTTGCCCATCTCTCGAACAACTCCTCCAGTAGCTTCCTCTGAACCCATGCTTAGCACTCCACCCATGATAGATAACACCAAAGTCATGCTGTCAGCTCCTGATTTGGATCGTGGAAAAAGGGATCGTCAACCCTCCGTCCGACTTCGAGATTATGTTACTCATACTATTGTTCGAAACGGTCCATTTCCCACTCAACCCGCTCCGTCACTTTCCTCAGGTACGCCGTTTGCTATTACAAATTATGTTAATTGTGATAATTTTTCTACAAACCATTGTGCCTTCTTAGCAGCTATATCTTCAGTCACGGAGCCACATGAAACAATTTTTTCATGATGCTGTTAAAGAAGCTGGATGACGGGATGCCATGCGTTCTGAGATTGACGCACTTGAAAAAAATGCCACTTGGAGCTTGGTTCCTTTTACCCCCCGGCAAACGAGCTTTGGGATGTCGCTGGGTGTATAAAGTTAAACATAAAGCAGATGGCAATGTAGAATGTCTTAAAGTTCGTTTGGTCATTTTTGGAAATCAACAAGTTGCTGGACTTGACTATACCGAAACTTTTGCTCGTGTTGCCAAAGTGGTTATGGTACGTGCTTTTTTAGCAATTGTTGCTTGCAAAAATTGGGAACTTCATCGAATGATTGTGCATAATGCATTTCTCATGGTGATTTGCATGAAGAAGTATACATGAAAATCCCTCCCGGCTACAAAACACGAGATCCCAGGTTGGTATGTCGTCTTCATAAGTCCTTGTATAGACTTAAACAGGCACCACGATGCTTGTTCGCCAAACTTGTTGCTGCCCTGAAAGGCTATGAATTTCTGCAATCTTATGCGAATTATTCTCTATTTACTCTCACTCGTGGTGTTAGTCAGTTTAATGTGTTGGTTTATGTGGATGATATTCTCATTGCGGGAAATGATAGTGTTGCTATTGCTGGTTTTAAGTCCTATCTTCATATTTGCTTTCATATGAAGGATTTGGGTCCTCTTAAATATTTCCATGGAATCGAGGTTGCTCGAAAACCATCCGATATCTTCCTAACTCAGCGTAAATATGCTTTGGATATTATCACTGAAAGCGGCTTACTTGGTGCCCTGCTATCCCCATTGAACAAAACCATAATCTTGCTACTACCTCTGGACCTCCTTTTGCAGACCCGGAGCAATACCGACGGCTTGTTGGTCGCCTCATTTACTTGGCGGTTACCCGCCCAGATCTTACTTATTCAGTGCATATTTTGTCCCAGTTTATGCAAAACCCCTGCGTTGCTCACTGGGATGCTGCATTACGCGTAGTGCGTTCTCTTAAAAATTCTCCTGGACAATGTATTCTTCTACGATCTGACGGGGATCTTACTCTTACAGGATGGGGATCTTCTGACTGGGCTGCATGTCCTATTACTCGTCGGTCTCTTTCTGGCTGGTTAGTTTTCTTGGGTCACTCGCATGTATCATGGAAAGCTAAAAAACTGACTACTGTGGCTCGCTCCTCAGCAGAGGCTGAATATTGCTCCATGGCTGCTGCGACATGCGAGCTTAAATGGTTAAAGGCACTTCTTTTGAGCTTAGGAATTCATCATCCTCAAGCTATTCCTCTCTATTGTGATAGTCAATCGGCTCTGCATATTGCTCATAATTCGGTCTTTCATGAACGTACTAAACATATTGAGGTTGACTATCACTTTGTTCGTGATGCAATTCAGGCTAATTTAATTGCTCTCAGTTATGTTCCTACCATGTTTCAGTTGGTCGACATTTTCACAAAAGCTCTGGGAAAGGCTCAATTTCAGACTCTTCTTAGGAAGTTGGGCATTCTTGATCCTCCATGCTCCAACTTGAGGGGTATTATGAGATAATCTATTTATGGAGTACATTTATTCTAGAATATTTTATTGATAATGTAGTTGTGTTATAATAGGAGACTTTCTCCTTTTACTTTGGAACCGATCTTTGCATATCGGGATTCCATAGTGTATTTAAACAGCTGGTACTCATCTTTGTGAAGAGAGAATATTATTCCTTTGCTCTTTCTGCACAATACTCACGTAAAAATATCAACATTATATAAATTATAAAAGCTCTTTTTTTAAATATGATCATATGATCAATATGATTAGAATGGTTCAATATTTTTATATATCTTTATTTTTATAATTAGCACAAGGCCTTATAAACTTTGAGAAGTCCTTGAGTTTCGTCCTCTGCATTTCTCCCTTCATTGATTTTATTTGTTTCAATAGATTTGTTACAGAGTGTGAAGAGAATAGTAGAGTTTTGAATAATGTAGGAGGAGAAGTTAGAAACATAAAATAAAAAGTAAGGCAAGCATTGCCAAAAATGAAAACCGAGTAATAAATACGGAGTGAAATCATTCTGAAAGGAATTCTGAACAAATAAAGAAAAATGGAGGGAGTATTTGAGTCCTCTTCAATATCAGAACTTTTGGAGCTTATATGGATATTTCTTGATTCAGGAGTGCGAAAAGCTAGTGCTGAGGGACCACCTGTAACAGCAACACCAGAGAAGAAACAGAAGATGTTTGACAGTGATCCTGATCATTCCACAGAGGAACCGACAGAGAAGATCCGAGGAGAGCTAGACAGTGCGAAGAAAGAGATAAATCTCCTTTCACAGAAAAAATCTGAGGCAATGAAGTGTTTGCAAGATGCCCAAACACTGATCACTAACTTACGCAGGGATAAGGAAAACGCACTTAAGAGGGCTAATCAGGCTGGACATGCAAAAGTTAAGTTGCAGGATGAAGTTACCGATCTCAAGGCTGATCTAGACAAGCTCAAGACTGATTTGATTGTTAAGGGGGTTGAGGTTGTAACTGCGGTTGAATCTTTCATGAACTCTAAAGAGTTTGATGACATTAAGCAGGAGTGGGAGGATCTATTAAGGAATGAGCTAAATGAAGCTCACAAGGAGATGTGTAACCTTCGCAAGGAGAAGCAGGATGCTATCAACAAAGTCAGGAAATTAGAGGATGAGGTGGTTAAGCTAAACAAAGAGCGGCGGGAAGTTGAAGATAAGATGGTTGAGCTCCGCAAAGAAAAGCAAAATGCAGTCTATCGTACCATCCAGCTGAAGCAGGAGGTGGCTAAGCTCCATAAGGAAAAGCAAAATGTGAATGATAAATTGAGCCAAGTTGAGCAGCAGATGGTTAAATTCAAGGCTGACATTAAGAAGCTGTTGCAACTATGATTTTATTTCAATAATCAGCTGCTGAAGGTTAGTAGTTGCTAAATTTTGTAAAACAATAGTGGGTTAGCCTTTGGTAGTTAGGTTATGAAGTGTCTTTGATCTTTTGCCTATATCAATGGATTTAGTCAGGGGGTTAATCAATCTAGGATTTATTAGGTTTTCTGGACTTCTAATATTTGTAGATATTTCATCAAGTATGCAAGTACTCGTTCAATGTTTGGTAGGTATTCAATCCCGACCTTTAAAGTCATTTAAGAAAAGGTTTGTATCTTCAGACATGAGGTTCTTCAACTGCCCTTTGTTCCTTGAACGTTGGTGGATGAGTTCAAACCTCATGACAGGAGGCATTTAAAGTCTCCTAACAGTTAACGTTAGGAACTTTTCTCCAGCTATAGATGCTCCAATCCAGTATTACTCGATATTTCCTACCGCAACGCTAACTCAAGAGGGGAACTTTTCTGTACCGTTTTCTTCTTGTTCATTATAGTTTGATACTATCACACTGGGACATATTCATATTAACTACATCTCTCCCATCAATGTATACTCTGGGACTCAGGGGTGGAGACAGGGGTGGCTAGCGGGGGCCGCCCTTGCAAGAATTTTTCTTTTTGTGTATATGTATGTTATATATTTATAAACAGTAAAAAATATATTGGAATTTTAAGCTTTGGCCCCCGCTATATATATTCCTTAAGCTCCGACCCCTCTAACTTGGCGTTTCTGGCTCGCCACTGCTTTGGGTCTCTGGGAAAAAGAATCAGTTTTGATCCAGTTAAACATATGAAATAGTTGATATTGGATTGTTGTTGTGTTTTGGTGGTTAGTAATGGAATCACTTATCTATTTTTCAGCTTTTTATAAGAATGACTTCTTGTCCATCTGTGTAGCTTTGACAAATCCAAGATGTACTCCAACAAGTAGAGAGTTCTAATCAATATTGATTACGCTCAAAATTTGATAAATATATTTAAATGTCCAACTCCATTGTTTCGGTTCCCGGTGGCAATATAGTGTGAGCCTATAAATATATTACATGCTAATACTTGATCAATTAACGTTTGGATAAAAATCTTTTTCGGCATCATTCCATGTGTTGACGTATCACATTGTGTTGAACTACTTTAATAAGTCTGCGTGTGAGATATCCAACATCTGATGTTCAAACAGTGATATACACAACCTCTTTATGGGCCCCATAACAAGAAATTATGTATTCCGTTGAAGAAATTAAAGTCTATATAAATTACTACGAGTAAATCAACCATTTATTCTTGTGGATCTGACATTAAGCCTCTCATACCAATCAATTGATGTACACGAAGATGCATTTCCTCTAACTCTTGAAACATGATGTACCGATGGGCGTAGCTCAACTGGTAGCAAGGGAGTGCCACAAGGGTTAGGTCCCGGGTTCGAATCCCGGCAACTGCGATGAGGGTTTACTATGCTAAAAATGCATAGGGCTTCTGCAAGTACCGGGGACAGAGCCCCACTCTCTATCTGTCAGATTGGGATTATAGTCCAATTTACATCCTCCCAATGTACCGTCCGGTCGGGGTTGGGGGTCCTCAGGGATGGGGTGTCATCCTTTTTTTTCTTGAAACATGATGTTATTCAAATTGGATTCAAAGGGTGAGTGATCTTAAAATTAGGATTTACTATGTATTTCTTATTGCAAATACTCACTTGTGGCATATCATATTGTGTACATTCTCTCATATGGAATTTAATCAATTCAGAACTGAAAAATAAATTATGTCAATATAGGACCCGGATGATTAAAAATTATCAATACATAAACTATCATTAATTTAAATATTATTTAATCTTATTAAATTAATAAACTTTTGAGAAGTAAAAAAAACATAAAAAATTAGCAATGGATTTAATAATAAATCAAATCAATCAAATTCCATATTGTTTAGGTCTTCGATTGATAACTTTTAATCATTCGAGTTCTATATCGACCCATTTTGTTTTTAAAATCACTTAATAAAATTTTCATTATATTAAGTGTCATCAAATAAAACCCAAAGTATTTACTTGATCGAAATATGTGTTGTAATCTTTAGTGTGAAAGACTAGGTATTTCTAAACTGTAAACCAACTTTTGTACTCCGTACTTCCATTTTTTTCCTGGATAAACATGGGAAGTGTGAGACATGGGGATAGTGCCTAACTGTCTGTAAGAGCAGAACTCAAGTTGACTTGCTGTTGAAATTTGTGCGCAAAAACTATTGATCCAAGTTAGTTTGTGCGCAAACTATATTATTGATTTGACAAGCACAGGTTTTTCTTCAATTTCTAGCCTTGTATTGCATACATTTTCTTCCTCCGGGATCATTCACCACAATCGAATCGAAACCGCACCGACTGAGGAAATGAAAGCCCTGTGCAGAAAAAATAATTGGGCTTTTCTTTTCAATGTTTCAACACAAGTTAAAAAAATCGAATCGAAACCGCACCGACTCAAACGGGACTCGAAAGTCGGGATTCGAACATAAATCGATTTAATGAAGGTTTTTTGAGTTATAAAATCGGTTTAAACCGAACTGAATCGATTTTTATTAAGAGGTATTTTAATTATTTATTTTGTAGAACAAATAGTAATATAAAACTTGTACGTCTGTATTTCAACAATTAGTTGATTTGGTCTGGTGGTTGATGTTTAGAAATCAGCGTGCATGCTTTTATTTTCACCTAGGTTCAAATCGTGCATGCCTCGCTCGCTCCTCCTTTGCAGATGAGAGATACGCGAAGTGACGAACCAAGCCTGCTTCAAAGCCTTGTCCTAGTCCACCTAAGTAATACTAGTTGTATACTACAAAAAAAAAATTGGACCTTTCCAATTTTTTGGGCCCTGTGCGGTTGGACACCGTGCACACCACCAGGGCCGGCCCTGACCACAATATATTAAGGGCTATGAAGATTGGTCATAGACTATCGTAGCACTTATTTATTGACACATTAAAATAGAAAAAAAAAGTTAATAACTGTTTGAAATGAGATATTTAATTTGTTCAAATACGTTTTTAGTCCCTTCTAATATGACACTTTGTTTTTGCTCCGTGCATTTTTTTGTTTTTCGTCCCTATAATATGCATTATTGTGTTTTTAGTCCATCTCTAACTCCAAAACTATTTTATTTAGAAAAAAGTTATTTCGAGTTGCCTAAATCTACTAGAAACATTTAAAGTTATCTTTTTATAATTTTTTGAGGCTAATATGAGAGTTTAAATAAAATGCAGAACTAATTATTCATATTTTAAATATATATTTTAAAAACATTCTAAAACATAAAATTAAATAAATTTTGAATAACATAACAAAGATTTAGAGAAAACATATTAGTCAAGTTTATTTTGAGGCCAAACAGAGGTTATTATCATTGGTGGTGGAGTAAATAGAAAATCAATACAAATTTCAGGGATGAAAAAAGTAATTTTACAGGAATGTAGAACAAAATGTACTGTATTTATAGGGATTAAAAGAAAAGAAAAGTGTCACTATCTCACTGAGGGGGTAATCCGGGGAGAGTTTATTTTTTCATTTTTACCCTATGATTGTCAGGGGTTGGGGGGTCTGGGAGAGATTATCGTAAATTGGGTTGAAACTCCTCCATGAAATTTCTAACCTGAGACTTTCATATTGGAGAGAGTTGGCGACCAGTTGAGTTGAACCACTTCTTCTTTGGGGAGAGTTCATTTGCACAAAGAAATCCTATCATTTGTTCCTGTCCTACGTGAATTTATACTATTACTCTTTTTTGGAAGAAAGTGACTTAAATTAAAATAGGGAAAATTACTATTTACCACCTGAGGTTATGTCATAATTATTAATGTGCCCTTGCATTTTCAAAAATCAATTAGTTACACCGTCAGTTTTGATTATTCTCACTATATGTCCCCTCATGTTAATATTTGTTAAATTAAATTTAATATAACTCTTAAATTCAATGAAAATTGTCTACAAATAAAATTTTAAAGTAAAAACACAATGTATTATCATAATTATAAGTCATTGTTCTTTATCTTTATTTTTGTACTTAATTACTTGATCGTGAAATAAATATTAATGAAAGTAGTTAAGGCAGAAGACTCGCGAGCTCAGTAATATTCATGGGATACATAACAAAGTTGTTTGAATTATGTGTTATCAAAATTTTAGATGCCTCTTCATCATGAATATAAAAGTCTTATTTGTAATTCATCCAACTGAATTAATCTCAATGACATTTCATTCGTTTGTAGCAAAGAAGAAATACCAAGAAAATATGAGTTTTAGCGATCTATGAACTAAAAGATTGATCTAGTATTAATAACAAGCCTAAAAGATAGAATGTTAGATAGGGTCTGAAAAATTGAAAGCTATCTAACTAAGACCTAAAATATATGTCTTAGATTTTAATTTATTTAATTTTTTGTTAATTCTATTACTATTTTGTGATGATATTTTCTTCACCAAAAGTTTATTAGTTTAAAAAGATGAAATGATATTATTATTTTTAAATTAAAAATACAAAATTCATGATATTTTATATCTTACTCGTGAGTCTTCTCTGTTAACTACAATACTACATTCATTAATATTTATTCCATGATCGAGTAGCTATGTAGAAAATAATGATCAATAACAATGACTTATAATTATGATAATAAATTGTGTTTTACTTTAAAATTTAATTTTATAGACAACTTTCATTGGATTTAAGAGTTATATTAAATTTAATTTAACCAATATTAACGTGAGGGGCATACAATGAGAATGATAAAAACTCAGGGGGCAACTAATTGATTATTAAAAATGCAAGGTTGCATTAATAATTATGGCATAACCTCAGGGGGCTAATAGCGATTTTCCCATTAAAATAACATAAATTAAGCAAGTTACAAAACGACAAAAAGTCTCTTGTCCATCGTCTGCCCTCGAACCGGACTTAGAATCTATCACCTTCGTAGAAGCAATAAGATTCGTTGATCCTGTAATGGGCTTAACTGAGCCAAAGACGGACAAATCAGACTTCTCATCACCTCACTTAAAATCTAGAATCTTTCTGCTAGAAAATAAAACTCCACCCAAAACAACATGCAGTTCGAAAGAAAAAAAACAAACAAAATAAAACGGAACTTAAACAGAGTTCACTTAATAACAAATTAATGATTTAGTAGTAAAGAAGCTATAAATGAAGGAAACTAAGAGTCCATTTAATAACTCCATTTTTGAGTTTATTAGTCAACTTTTTTGTGAAACATAAGTTTTGATCTCGAACGCTAAATTATGTAATAATAAAAACAAGTAAGATTTTAAATACATTCCTGGTTAAATTAATTCAAAATTGTTATTGTAGAAGACCATTCTAACTAATTTTCATATCATTTTTTATTCATTAATAAAAGGGAAAAATAATTAAAATACGTCAAACTTTGAAGGGGTGTGAGATGAGCACCCCAAACTTGCATATGTAACTTAAATACCCCAAATTTTATATAAAGAGTTATCTTAGCACCATGATCATGTATTATTTCTTTCAAA